TGGTTGGTTGGTTGGTTGGTTGGTTGGTTGGTTGGTTGGTTGGTTGGTTGGTTGGTTGATTGATTGAGGTACTTTATACATCACTGACCACAGGTGTCTTTGCAAAAGCTGCAGTGCCATGATACGACAGTGTTCGCATGAGCCAGGGTTGGTCAGCGAGTCCTGCGTGTCCTTCACCCCATGCATGCACTGCAGAGGGGATATAGATCCTTCCCAAAGTAGTGAATCCATAAGAGGCTGGGCAAGGAGGGGACTCAACATTTTTAGTCTTGCCTCAAATTTCTCTGATAGAAACCAACATTTGCCATCCTGTTTGCACAGTTTCGACAGGATCCAGGTAGATATTAAACAGAGATCCACCACAACGTGACAAACYTGACACAAACTTTTCTTAATACAAATTCATTTTTAACGACAAAAAATTATCAACAGGTCCAAAAACACCTAAAAAACCCACCTTATGGAGACTAACCTGAACTGCTGAGTGATATATGTGTAACAGAGTAGAGAAAATTCAACTCTTATTGTCAATTGCAAATTGTCAATTGTGACACAAAACATACAGCTCAAAAATAAATAGGGTGCAATGTGATGCGAAAGCTCCGTGTAGTTTCCTTGGCATCTGAAAATTGACTTCCTCAAATGTACTTTTAATCTCAAAAGGACTGGACTGAGAAGTAGTATTAGGAGCTCAGCAGATGCAGTTTCACCAGGTGTTTGCTAGTTGTTGCTGCTTGTTGTTCCTTGTTGCTGAGTGGGGGGGGGTGGTGGGGTGGGTGTTCTCTGTGATGCGGAAGCTTGGCTTGGAGACACAGCTCAGAAGAGGTGCATTATAACATGATATAAAGCTCAAAAAAGTTGATTTTACATAACTTTGCCCCTTTAAAATAAACAAATTCCTGATATTTTCTCAAAAATACAAAAAATTTAAAAAATAAAATCTTGCAACATGAGGGATCATGTGTTAGGCAAGCAAAAATATTTTTCTCACCATGACATCCCTGTGGTGAGAAGCTCCTGCTTCAGGGATGTCTTCATTAGTGTTCAGGCTGAACGACCGATTGCACCGCTCATTCTGCTGGGACAGTCTGCAGATAGAGGACCGAGGACGGGTGCTTTAACTCCAAGGGGAAACAGGTAAAACAGACAGCGACAGGTAACAGAATCGTACTAACCCAAGGGATGATGGGTTGTTGTAGTGAGTTTCCAGGACTTGTCCACTGTGAGGCTGACTGTAGCATCCGCTGGGGTCCATGGACACTGAACATCCTTCTGCTTTAACTGCTGTCAGGGGAATGTAATCCTTCCCATCCTGGATAGTAAGGATAAAGAACTTCACCTCAAATGCAAAAATGTTTAACTAACTCCTCCCATGTTAGTGTAAATTATTGCTTCTTTATAAATAAATGACTTGTTTCGTTTAAGGTACAGAAAATGACTTCACTCTGTGAAATGGGGTGAAAGCACACTAGCTGTGTTTCCATTGCAAATGTGCGCAAAACTTTGTCAATATTCTGTTAATGTCGAAAACACAGTTTCACAACTGCAGTGTTTCCAGTAAGTAAGAAATGCTGTTGAAGTCACGAGTAAATATGTTTTTTCTCGCGATAAGTCATTACAAACATGGCGGCGATGGATGTAAACACATAGCATGTTGCTACCACGACACT